TTTTTTTAAGCGTTTGAATATTGTTTTTTAATTTTAGTATTAAAGTATTTTATCGTTTACATTTTTTCATATTTTCCATAAGTTTTTTCATTTATATTGTATTTTTTTTAAATCTTTTCTTATTTATTTATTACCTTAATGCAATGTTTATATGAATATACTGACTGCTTATAGATTTAGTGGTTATAGCATACATTATTGTAATAGTTATTAAATAAGTTTTGACATTCGCGGAAATTGAGGTTATGTTTATAAGTCGTTGAAGTATTGGCGCATAAGTTGGGATACATAAAACTGTGAAGCGATTTATCTATAACAATTAATTATCTGTATATATGTATATATTTCGGCTATTTGCTTTAAATTTACATTTTTCATATATGTAGTTTTGTTGTTGTAATTAATAACTATGCGGAAACCAGTCATTACGCACGTCTGTATATAAATCGCACGTAAATATTTCTTTGTATTATTGTATAAATATGTTTGTTTGTATGTGTTTACATTGCAATAGTTACACAGTTAAAGTACTTGGATAGTTGCAGGCATAAATTTCAATAACTTTTTCCTATAGTATAAGTATATAAGTATATAAGAATCTTTGTATGTATTTGCGTTTTTTTTTTGGCTTGTCTCCCATCCGTTGAAGTCAATTTCTTTAGTTTGTGTGAAATCAGGTAATTCATTGCAAAATCACTGTTTGTTTCGAACGGAAGAAGTTTTGAAGAGCGGTCGCTTCGAAGAGTGTTTTCGCGCCACTGTGCCGCTGTCGTCATTGCATCCATATTTCATGCGCTTTTATGTAAGTATATTTATCGCTATGTGTTTGTATGTGAGTTCTGCAGTAGCACACATACATGCACATGTATATATGTTTATGTAAATCTAATATTTATTCTAATCTTTGTTATAGCACTGTTCACTGACGCGCTGAAATGCACACATACGTGTGCACGTGTTGGCATAACTGTACATTTGCATTGTTATATCGCAATAGTTTCCAATACATACAAACATTTGCTTTTAGCTGCCGTAATCAATGTCCATTACGAAGTTGTGCTGCTCATTTTTTGTGTGCCCATTCGTTCATATGCTAAACTTATGTGGGCACACTAAGCGGCAAATGAAAGTTGACAGCTGGGTTTTTATTAAAATTTTTTAAGATGCAGGGGAATGAATCAGTACGTTGAAGTTATTTGTCATCTACAAAGCGATTGTAGTGAAATGCCCACACTTCATGTAACACAAGCAAAGCCTAAATTATGAAGGACAACTCAGAGCTATTAAAGAAGAAGAAGTAGAACCGTATGAAATAGTAACGGTATTCACAATGATCTATCTGCGTCCGGAAAATTTTTGGTATCCAAACTTGATATAAGTTCGAGCCACTTAACTTATATCGTGGAATAAGTTTAGTCTACAGATTTTTGTTCCAACGATCGTAGCAAAAATCTCATTTGGATAGCTTAGAACACTGCCGGTTAGTTTTAGGAACCAACTCCTACAAAAATAATCATAAACTCCTTCATAAACCGATAAAGCGAGTTTGTTGCGGCGGCTAAGGTCAGTTTCAGCTATATCTCCTGGTTCGTCGAAGACATGACTGCCGAGATGTTTCAATACAACTTTTACAATTTGTTTACGACAAAATCTTCAGCCATACCGCATGAACGCCTTTTGAAAATGTCCTGTAAGAATTCCTATAATTACGACAAGATAAATTTTCTAAGGGTAAGTACTAGTTCAGTACATCTCCTGCGTTCTAAATTACTCTAAGCCCGAACGATTTCGTAGTCGCATAAGAGCTCGTCGCCAAGAACGCAAGATGACAACGGAGAACCAATAAGTACCGTCCATGTGAGCGGAGCAAGAATCGAATCTAAACTATACAATTGTGGTTCAAATTTTGTAACACAATTGGACTATGTCTTCATAAACAATAGAATATGGGCCCTAAGACGTGTAAAGTAAAAATTTTGGTCAATCCGGGTCTTTAAGAGCTGTTGATAGAGCCGAAATACCAAAAGTTAAATAAAATAATATAATAATAAATAGAGGATGGAGTCATGTACAGAAGTTCACTAAAATGAGAAAAGTTCTCTGACCGCCATTCACTTGGGAATAGCCAGAAACAAGCTTTTATATATGGATCCTCTGGATAGCCAAAAATATCCGTTTGAAGGCGATTCACTCTCACTTTAGAAGGCAAAAAATCACTCAGCATGGGACCCGCCAGGTAAAATACACCCATCAAGGAAAGAAAGAAAACAGCATTGCTGTTGTAAACTCGGGTTTAACCGCAAAGCGGTGTCTCCATCAATAAAGAAGAAGAAGAAAAGAAATAATAAAAAAAAAAATGCTAATGAAATTTAATTTTAATATTTACTTGTGACTGTAAACCATCAGTTGTCGCTTACTGTATGGGCGCGCCTTCATTTATTTATTTGTGTGTATGTATGCATGCATTTGCAGATAAATGTGCATTGCTGCAGTAGTTCGCCACTGCCACTGCCGCTCCCATCGCTGCTGCATATTGACTTTAGGATATTGTGCACGAATTTCGTTTGCTGCCCAAGCTCCGCTCCTGTATCCTTTGTAAATGTTGTATTTGCGCGGCTGTTGGCGCATGCGATGGCAATGTGGAGCCGTGTGCACTGCCCGCTGCCGACGTGTTGGCTGCATGTGATGGATGATGGTGATGGGTGGGCGTGCCCGCTCCATTGTTGCCCACTTGCTGTGGCAATGATTGTCGTCGGCGCCGCAGTGCTGGACTCAGATTGTACGTGATTTTCGCCTGTGACAGCAGCTCTTTGAAGACCTGCAAGTGCAAAGTTTTGGGGATTAAATAAATGTGTAAAATTGCTTCTTTTTGTGAACAAAGTCAGGTATTATGTATGTATACATTAAATTTTATATTTTCACCTGTGTGATGTTTTCATTCTTCGCCGCAGACGCTTCGACAAAGCCATTCTCCCAGTCTAGGGTGACCACCGATTCTGTGGTAGCATATTCAACCTAAATAAGTTAAGCAGAAGAAATAGGAAATTTTAATAATTATGATATGATCAGAAATCGTTAGATAAATTGAAAACAAGTGATATTCCCATATAAGTATAAAGGAGGTGGATATTTTCAAGACTACTTATGACACATCATCACAGAAGAGATTAATTTGTATTGCAAAGAGATCCTCTTCCTTCATAAAGTTACTGACTATTGCTGCTACATATCGTTCCTTCCGTTACTAGCTCTCTTTCTCAATGCTCTCTCCCTAATAATAGACGTAGAGAGAATCGTTGAATAGTATCCAGAGATTGATCGTACTGCTCAAGTAGTCGACATGAAATCTAGATATCCGAGAGTCCTTGTTTGTGTCTATACTTAACTCTAGGTTTATGGAGAACTCAGTACACTCATCTATAATGGCGTAAGTGGTGTCTGCACTCGTAAAGAAAAAAGAAGAATTTTCTAGTAGAAACTCACTCGAGGGCTTCATTCCTTCTGGAATATCGTTGTGGTAATGATTATCTTTAAATGATGTAACTTCCATAGATAGAGAGATAAATAGTAAATACTTAGATTTTGCACTGCGAGCTACGGTCTTTTGTCCAGCATTCTGAACAATTTCAGTAACCTGCTGGGTGTGACTGAGGTGATGTGATCCCTGTCCACGTAGATGGCACCTAGGGCCTTTAGTCTGCTTTTACAAGTTGCTGGGCAATCCAAAATCAGGTGTTCTGTGGTTTTTTGTTCTACGTCGCAGAACCGGCAGTTTGCACAAGTGCTTCCTGAGCCGGCAGTGCCCTGTATGGAGGGCGTCAAGGACGCGGAATTTGCCTTGAGAGAGGTTGATCATTTCCTTATACCTTGCAAGGTTGTAATCTCACAGAAGTAGCTTGGCATGACGAATTCCAGCTGCCAATGCTGTTCTCTTCCTACTCCCTGGCTCGTGCGAAGCAGTTCCTTAAAAGTGTATCTTTAACGTTGTCGCAGAGTGGGCCAGCTCATTGCTCATTATCCCTCTATGCATCGGCACAAAGATTGAGTGTACCGGTTGCACACTGATAGGCGGTTCCTATACACTCCTCCACTAAAAGCCATTTAACCTCATATGCTGAGATCGCCTTTAGTGTCGTTTGATTCTCGCTATAAATGGCAATACGCTGGTTGCGATGGCGATCGAACTCTCTCTACGCATTGACTTATAGCAAAGACTTCTGGTTGAAAAATGTTTGGAAAACGTTCCATTGGTATAGATAGTTTGGTATGCGGTCCCGCAATGCCTCCTGTTGTTTTCGAGCAGTCAGTGAATCATTGGATAGTGCTGCCTCTCAGCTGTATATCGAGCGTGGATTCCGGGAGTAACTCTATAAATATTTGTAAAGTTAATCCTCTTTGAAATACCGTCCCTTGGAAGAACGGCCAGTGGAGTGTTTTCCTCTGGCGACTTAATTTGTTGAGACGACATTATCTTCCCTTTGCCGAAATCTCCTGCTGCCATTAGCTGGCATGATATACAAATTTAAAAACGACGCTATCCACCATTCACAGCCACCCAAAATATATGCAAACTTTATGCTCACATCCAAGCAATGTAATGGCTTAAAGGTAAGCCAGGCGAGTATAATACAGAAAGCTCTCAGGATTTACCATTCTTTTCTATAAATTCTTCCTTCTTCAACCTTTGTCTTTCCAAACCAATTAAACCAATTTTAATAGCTTAAATGACCAGCAATAAATAAAAGGATATTACACTTAAGACCCTACAAATGTCTTCGAATTATGACAATAATCACTCAGACCAAGCTCCCTACAAGTAAGATCATTAAATAAAGTGTAGGAAATATACGAAAGTTGTGCAGAAATCCCATTATGTCAACGAATGGATTAAATCATGTAATAATTGAAGCGGCAAAGAATTTATTAAGCCAAGCGCGTACACACATACAAACATATGTATATACATATGTATTTATAGGAAAGTTAAGTTGGCTGATAAAGCGACGGTTCAGTGAGAAATGATGCGTGTGACAGGAGAAAGCAACAATGTAACAACAACAACTAAATGGAAGGAGCGAAAAGGACCATACCGCCGGCAGTCCTTATAAGTACATATTTATCTTATGTATATATATATATATGTATGAATGTGCCCGTAAGTAGGCGGGCCAATAAAATGAGGCGGTAAAAATACAACGAAAACAGCAAAAAGGACCTAACGGTAATTTGAAGAGCTACAGCAACAGTAACTGAAATTATCGGTATTTACCAGAAGCTGAAATTTATAGCCCATAGCTCATTTGGTGTGTAAAGTGGGAGAGCGAGAAGCATTGTGACCAGCCTGACCCACAGCGAAAGTAGCTGGAGGACAAATGTATATTATAATCTTAAACACATATATAGTATATTATTATACATATGTATGTGTGTATATATGTCAATATATATCGCCTAGGCATCACCTCTGTATATATGTATGTAGAGCCTTGTGCGCAAAGAATAAACTTGCTTACATTGCATGAAATCAAGCGACAAGATTTTTCGGTTTGCTTGAGTTGTCGACAGGCCAAATCCCAGAAAGAATTATTTTTTATATTATATGTAAGCGGAAGCAGCTCTTACTGCTGTGGTGGTAGTGCCTGACGAACAAACGAACAAAAAATGCTTACAGACAAATTTCATTGTCTTGTATATTTGTATGCGTTTATGAATATACAAAAATAGATAACGTAGATATGTACAGAGATTAGAGGTGTTCTTAAATGTACGGAAAAGTAAGAGAAAACTTAAAGTCGGGTTGCACCGAAGCTAAAATATCCTTAATATATATGCCTAATTTCTTGAAAATATAATAAATAACATCTTCGTTCTATATTTCATATAATTATCTTATGTTTCGATAGTTTTTTGATCTCTTCCTCCAAATAACGATGATATTGCCAGTGGCATAACTATACCGTTCGAGGCCCGTGGCAAATTTATCGAATGGGCCCTCTGCCCTCCCACGTCCCCAATATATAAAGAAGCTGAACCAACAACAATAGTATTTTTTATATTATAATATTTATTTATACACTTTTATTTGTAAGAGTTAACTAATAAATCACTACGTGAAGTAGGTACATACAAACTTTATAATTATAATTTCTTCATTTTCTAATTATTCACTTTTAATTAAAGTTACCTAATTTAAAGTGCATATTGAACTGAAATCACAATTTTATTCTAAGTACACAATTTTAATTATTAAAATTCCTTTCTTCGGACTTTCTGTTCAGCAAAAGTGTTAATGACATCATCAAAGTTCAAATTTCCGGCCATAGAATTTTCGATGGATAGAATAGCCAAATTGCTTAACCTTTCTTGTCCCATAGAATTTCTTAAATAAGTTTTTATCAATTTCAGTTTTGAAAATGACCGCTCGGCACTAGCCGTAGTTACAGGAATGGTGAGAAATAACAGAAATGCAGTGCACACTTCAGGAAAGCTTGAAGATATAAAATGATTCTTTATTATTAATAAGTCAGCAAGTTCTCTTATAGAAGATGACCTTTCTATTTCGTGTTTAAAAGAGGATCGAAAACTGAGAATTTCTTTGGAAAACGACATAGATATATCTTTTTTATATAAATGGACAGATGCTAAAGCCTTTTCCAATAAATCAGTATCATTCAAGTTTTGCAAAGCGGCAGGCTGCAAGACACTAAAATTGGAAACAATTTCATTCATTCCAAGGAAACGCGATCTAAGTTGATTATTGATGATGTCTAATATACGATAGAATACGTTCACTTTAAACAAGCTTTCAGGATCTTGGAGACGTTCATCCTCACAAATTTCACCAGATGCCTTTTTTTTTACAGTTTTAGTCATTTTCTTCAAACCGTGTTTAGGCAACATAAAAGTGTGGCAATTTTTCTTAAGAACTTTCAACTGATGACGTATCATTATAATTGAACTCTGTTAGTAAAATCAGAGACAGTCATAACATAACACTTTAATGTAAAAAAGAGACAAAATATTAAAGGCATCAATAGCATTGTGGTCGGGGAATACTAAATCCTTTGGGGAATTCCCAGCTCGTTACTTTCCTAACGTTTTACGGCTCTGACAATTAACTTATTGGCTTAAATTTACGATCGTCAATAATTTTTAGAGTTTTCTACAAGATTCCGAAAAATATTTTTTAGCGCATTGTATTGAGAAAAAAAGCGCTGAAGAGTCTAGAATTGCGCTAAAATGACAACACTGATTTTAATGCCGGCAGTATACCTAGTCTCAGCGAGACACCCTGAGACATGCCCAGCGAATATAAATGTAAACCAATATACACATTTTTGAGGCATGTTTGTCCACACATGTTTCCGAAATTATTACGAGTAATTGGATTTTGACCATTCTTTCTAAAACTGGGTTAATTTTTTTTTTACTAATGCACTGAAAGTTGAATACCTAGGTATATTTTTTTTAGTTGTATATGCAACTAAGAAGGTATCAAATAAATTAAAGACAAAACTTTTTTTTTACTTAAGTAATGTGTATGTGTAATAATAAATGTTGGGAAATGAGATTTCCTCTGACCGGGGCCCCGTGGCATTTTGCCGACTTGCCACCCTATAGTTACGCCACTGGATATTGCTTTTGCGGTACGCTGTGATAATAACGATTAAAATTCCTTATTACACAGAAATCCAAATTTAATGGGTAATCTTTATTATCATTCGAGAGAACTTCTTTGGCATTTATTTTTGGATAATTATCTCTTTCGAATGTTGGCCTGAATCGAACCGGGATTGTTTGCAAAGGCTTTAGACTTTACATATCACCAAAGAAGAAAGTCTAAAGTGTGATATCACACGGTGAGCAACGTGAAATTATCTGCTTATCGAAGTGTGCTCTCCATGAATTCATTGATTGAGGTGATATGTTGGAAGTAGCCGCGTTTTGTTGAAACCAAATATCGCCAAAACTACGAGCTGCAATTTCAAGCATCAAATTGTCGGTTATCTTGGCGC